CGGTACCAAAAAAAAAAAAAAATCTGGACCCCCAGGTCCAACTATGGCAAGATACCTTCCCCAGCTGCAAAGCCTATGAAAGAGTAACTTTTCGACAATGAACTTCCAGAGTAAAAGAAATGGGGGGGGGCACTGTAATGAAGAGCGGGAAAGAGTTGCTTCACCCTGTAACCTGCCTCCACACACATGCATACTTGTCGTTGCACCCTCTGCCCTCAGACTCCCGGGCAAACGTTTCAACTCCGAATTATCTGCGTTCCCCTGCCTGAAGGGATATCAAATTGGGCGGGAGCTCTCGCGAACTCTGACCCGGAGCATTCGCTAAGCCGCAAGACCAGGAGGAAGGACGTGGGAGGAGGCACACGCTTTCGCAGGAGAAGCCGCTAAAAACCCTGGCCCGGTGCCCCTCCTCAAGAGTCTATCCCAGGACGTACCCCTAAACGCTACACCCCTGACCCGCCCGCCGCCAGTCACCTCGGCCTTCCCTCCATTCTCCTCCTAGGGACTTCCTCCTCCGGGCTCAACTAGGCCCCAGGACCCCGAGGCAGGCGCGGCGCTCGACCCACAGCCCGGGCCAGGCGGGCAGCGAGGCACTGCTCTGGCCCATTCCCGCCGCCATTTTCCGGCCACAGCCGCCGCGTAGGGGGGACGATCCCGGAGGAGGAGACTGTGCAGGAGCGCACCGGTCTCCACAGGGCAGGGGGGAGCGCGGCCGGTCTCAGGGATCCTTAAGATCGCCGAGGCGTCCCTTCGCGGGCCACTCTATCCCGAGTTTAGGCTTCTTACCTAGCCTCACCGAGAAGTCCCTCACCTTACTCTAGATCCCCGCGCTTCTACTTACGCGGAAGAATCCCGCGTCCATCTTGCTGCCTCGCTCGGCGATCGCTCCCTATCCCAGGGTACACCGCGGTGCCGCGACGGAGGGCGGGACTGGCGGAGGGGAGCCGAGCGCAGGGACGTAGCGCACGTCGTTGTACCCGCCCCTTGCAGCCAACACGAGGCTGCGCCTGCTCAGTGCGCTCAGGGCCTGCTACGCGTGCGCACACTCGTCAAAGAGGCGGGCTTCTGCCTGTCCTGTGCCTCCCCAGAAGCCAATGGGGTAGACGAGCCCGGCGACCTCTGCCAATCGGAGCGGGAGAGTCGTAGGATCGCACCCACCCGCAAATCCCTTTGTGGCGCGTGACCAGCCATGTTCACGCAAGGTAACGTGACCCGTTCTTCGACCCGTAGTTGGGGAGGCCTCCTGCTTTTAGCGTTCCGTCTAACGATTGAAGAGAAGGTCAATTACCTCATCGTGACGGTGTTGAAGCGGCCGGTGGATTTTCGAGAGGCTTGAGGCCTCCGCTGTCGTTGTAAAAGTTGAGATTGTGGGGTTTTATGAGTTGTATCAGTTATCCAAGTTAACTAAAGTAGTGGAGCTATGTGGTGAAAGTGAAATTTGCATTCTAGCTCAAGTTGCTTGGCTTTGGAAGAATCTGGAAGTGTCCATTAGATGAGTTTTCATCGACCGCGCTGAAAGGCAGGAAGCCTACGGAACCCGGGCTGCGGGTGGGGCAGGACCTTGCCTGCCCTGACTTGTTCCGTGGACTTCAGGCTTCCTAGGCTGCTGCCCAGTTGGTGTTTCCACGTGGACGCCTGATAAGACATCACAACAACATACCAAGACTCAGATCCTCAATCTTCCCTCCTGCCCTCCGCCAAAAACAAAGCAAAGAAGAAAAAGACCTGCACCTCCCAAAGTCTTCTGTCTTTTAGTCAGTGTCAACATCTTTCCATTTGTTTAGTACAGTAGCCTTGGTGTCCTTCCTGCACATCCCACTTCCAAACCACCAAGAAACCTAGTGTCATCGTGGTGCAAAGCACACATGGCTTGCCTGAACTTGTGCACTGGCCTCTTACCTGGTCTCCCTGCTTCTGCCCGTCCACTCAGCATCTGTTCTTAACGTATTAGTGATTGAGTGAAAATCTTTAGATGCTCTTCTGAAAACCTTCCAGTGCCCCCTGATTTTTCCCAGCAAATTCAAAACTATCTGTTCTTTGACCTCCTCTACTACCCTAACCTTTCTCTTTATCAGAATTTCCTGAACTTTAATTTCAACACCTTTGTTATAGTTGTAACTTCTGCCCAGAGTGCTCTACCGTAGGTATCTTGGACAACTTTGTTTTACTCAGGTCGTCGCTCTGAGGCCCACTCTGACTTTCCCATTGGAAACATGCTATTCTTGTTTTAAATTTTCAGGATCAGGGAGCCAGAAAACTCTAGGTGTGGACAGAATTCAGGACCAACTGATTGCCAGCTTGTCCCTCAGGTCTGGAAGGTTAAATTTGTTGCTAACCTAGTTCACCGTCTTACAGGAAGAACATAGAGTTTTCTAAGGTATATGAGCATAACAGGAAAGTATTATTGACCCTGAGTTAAATCTGAACCTAATAACTGGCAGAGTTACCCAGCCCCAGCCTCTGCTTTGCTTCTTGTCTGGATCAGAGAGTGGCTGAAGAGAAACTCTCACACACCCATGTTCTCTCCCAAGGAAGTGAGGCAGAAGCAGGGTTTTGTCCTTCACAGATTTATTTTGGTTCTGGCAGGTCTGGAACCTTTTTGTCCTGCACCCACTGTGCACTCTGGGATTAGAGCTGCTCCTTTGAAGGTCAGCACCCAAGCTCTTGTCCATCTTTCAATTAAGTCTCCTTGGTTTAGTAACTCCTGTGGATTTACCACTCTTAAGACAGAAACCTCATATGACTGCCTCTCTGACTGCATGGTCACCAAGTGATGTGTTACATCAGACATGGAAGACGGGATGTGAGGATCCTTCAGGAAGCACCTCATCATCATCTCCCAGGATGGAATTGGTATTTGGTAGGTTCAAGGACTCTCCACCAAGGTTGGGCTGGGAATTCACAGATACCAGGTTTTTACAGGGTACTGAAACCTCTTCAAGGAAACTACTGCCGATTAGTGGCTCAGCAGTTTGCTCCTGCTCTTGACTCCCAGCTGTCCCCAGCTGCAAGTGATGCATTCTCTCTTTTTGTAGTACCAGGGATCGAACTCAGGACCTTGCGCTTGCAAGGCAGGCATGGCGCCACTGAGCTAAATCCTGGCCCGTGATGCTTTCTCATATGCACATTCAGGCTTCCACTCTCAGAGGTCTTCCCACAGACCTGGCACTGATGAGGTTTCTCTCCTGAGTGAACCACCAAATGTTTTCAGAGACTAGAATACTCAGCAAAGGAACGGCCACATCTTGGGGTTCACAAAGAAAAGGTTTCTCTTCTGTGTAGATGCACAGGTGATTCTTGAGGTTTTCAGCTGTAGTGAACTGCTTACCACAACTGGACTGAGGGCACATAAAGGGCTTCTCTCCATTGTGGGTCCTCATGTGCACCTTCAGCCTCTGCAGCACATAGAAGCTTTTTCCATAGCTTTCTGCAGGGCGGATGAAGGAGTGGTCATTTCGATGAGTTTTGAGGTGGTACTTGAAGTAAGCTGGCCACACAGATGTCTGGTCATATCCTTCAGTGGTACACTAGAGCTTCTCTCCACTGGAGGAAGGGGTCTAGAATCTTTGGGTTGCCCATCAGCTGAACCAAGGTGGACATTTTCTCCATTTCTGCTGCTTTTTGCATTTTTGTAGCATCAATCAAACTGCTAAAGGCCAACTCTTGAACTCGAGGGAACCATGGAATGCTACTGTCTGTGCTCTCACTGGAGAGGAAATCGTTCCCTGAATCCTCTGCTTCATCTTGTACAAACACTTAAGTGCTCAGCTGAAGAGCCTAGACCTACTCTTGTTAGATTAAGAAGAATAAAAGAAGTGCTATCACTTGGCTGTAGATCTTGTAACAAGCTAGGAGACTCAGGAATAGATAAAAACTCTAGAGACTTCTGTAAAGTCTGAGCCCTTGTCTCTTCTCTGTCTGAGCCCACATTCATCTGAAGGCTTCTCAATATAGCCGAGGAAGTGAGCTCCTTGCAGGAGTTAGTATGATTTGAAGTATCATCTGGTAACATTAGCCAACTGCATTCTGAGGCCTCAGTCACCAGAAGGAGTGACAAGCAAGTAATGTCTAGTTTCTGATTCTACTAGCCCTGTCCCAATGGGATGGAGGTATTCTGAACAAACTGCACCAGGAGCTGTGGTCTGGATTCTAACTTACCTGATAACATTGATTCAGCTTCCAAAATCCTGTAGCTCTTCAGGGTACAGGTTCAGCCCTTCGCCTTCCTCACCTTATCTATTTATCTTCAACCTTTATTATTATATATTTTTTTAAGACAGGGTCTTGGTATGTAGTTCAGGCTGGCTATGAACTCACTATGTAGTCTAGGTTAGCCTCGAACTCATGGCAATCCTCCTGCCTCAGTCTCCTGAGTGCTGGGACTACAGCATATGCCACCATGCCCAGCATTACCTTTAACCTTTAAAGGACAGCCTTAATTCTTCCTTTAGGATTTACTATAGATATGATCTCCATCAGGAAGCATTTTGCTTAGTAAGACTCAGTACTTCCTGGTTTATTAACACGTAAAGGGTTGCTGAGTGCTCCAAAACTCCTAGGGCTGGGGGTGTTACTCACTGGTGGAGCATGAATCCAGCAAGGCCCTGTCCTCAGGGTCTCAGCACCTCAGTCCTCAGCACCAAAAAAAGAAAAAGGAAATCCCTGAGTGCTGGGATTACAGGCATGTGCCACCATGCCCAGCTTCCACTCTATTCTAATCATATATGTACATCAGTCTTTACCTTGTATCTCATAAGATAAACTTTTGCGTGTGTGTGTTCTGGGGATTGACTCCAGGCCCTTATACATGATGAAAGTGCTTTACTACCTAGCTCCATCCCAGCCCCTTTTTATTTTATTTTGAAACAGGGTCTCACTAAGTTGCCTAGGTTGGGCTTGAACTTAACAATCTTCCTGCCTCTGCCTACTGAATAAGTGGGATTACAGGTGTGTACCACTGTGCCAGGCTCCATAAAACAAACTCTAAAGACGGGGACTATGTCTTTCTGCTCTCTTTATTCTCAGTACCCAAACTGGAGTTTAGTACACGTTTTGGCCAATGCCAAATAGTTGAATGTTAACAGTATTGTATCAAAGCTAAATATTTTCATCATAGAACAAACCTTTGGAATAAAAGAATAAACTTTTATCAAGAAAGTATCAAAATTAACTAAGAAATTTTAAAAACAAAAAAGTATAAAATTTAACAACAGGTATAATTATGTTACTGAACTAAGCCTGTTTCACTATTCACATCTAATTTTGCAGTTTATTAGGTGAGCATGGTGGCAGACACCCAACAGTCAGGAGGCTGAGGCAGGAAGCTCATCAGGAGTTTGAGGCCAGCCTGGACTATATAGCAAGACCCTGTCTCAAAAAAACCCCCAAATAAATAAAAGTTTATTCATGAAGTAGCCAACCACATGATGATGGGAGAAAAAAATCTCAGATCAGCCTCTCCAAGAATGAGGTTTAGAAGGGCCAGGGATTTAGCTCAGTGCTTTCGCCGCCTGCTGCGCAAGCCCTGCCTTAAAACTGCAAGGTCCGGAGTTCAATCCCCAGTACTACGAAAAAAAGAAAGGATAGCAAGTCACAAGATAGTTGACACCACAAGTTCTAGCTTTGC